CAGGCGGGCTGCGGCGCCGCTGGCGTGCGGGTCGGGCCGCAGTCGCGGGGCTCCGCAGCCTGCTCGAGTGCGGACTGGGAAGTTTCTTGGAATGTGCGCCTTGGAACGCGCTGAGCAGTTATTTTGAAAACTTTTTCTGGGGAGGGTCACCTAGTTGTTCCTTTTCCAAAACCCCAAACTCGGTTACCAAGATGTCATCAAAGTGTCTGTGGTGTGTTTCATTTACATATCTAACTTTAAAACAAAGTTGGCAAATTTTTAAATCCCTCCGGACTTCAGTCTGCCTTTGAGCTTGCGTTGCATTTACCATATCGATGTAAAAAAAAATGTTAAGAAATGTAAGGATTCTGATTTTTCAAGAAATTAGAAGTATACCGACCAAGTCATCTTTTTTCCCCTCATGAAGCAGCTTCCTTAGAAACTTTCTTGGAGAATGATATCAGGTGTGCAAGCGTGCTCAGTTCATTCAGTCCCTCCGAGTTGCTCTGGGCTGGTTCCTGGGAACGTTACCAGCGAGTCCTGCTTCCTCTTCGAAGCTCTCCTCTGCGGTGGAAACTAGGCGCTGTTGCGAACGCTGCCATCTCAGCGCAGCCTGGCTCCTCCAGCGCAGTCTTATAGTGGTAGCATCCGAAAATCAGTTTCTGATGAATGGGTCCAAATTGAATTGCATTGCTGCCTTCAGATTCGTGCTAGACACAGCTGTTCAACTTGTGAAACTATTTCTGTGACTGGCCACTAATGTATTCAAAAATCTATTTCTACTTTTGAAACAAAACTGGAATTTTGTGGCTTCAGTGTGACTACAGTTCCTGGAATCCAGCTGTGAAAGGTGTCATGTAATATTAAGTTAATGTAGAAATGAGGAAAATGATTTTTAAAAAAAATTAGTCTAAAGGAGATTCTTGTTGAATTAAAATTTGTTCACCAGTGGGAAGGAGTAATGACTCTCAAGTGTAAAAGTCACTGATAATGCTTTTCTTTTTAACTGGTTAAAAAGTTGAGTTTGACTTTAATTTTATAAAATCAACTTACCGATGTGAGAAGTATGGAAAAACAATAGGTAAAATGCTTTTCTGCAGAACAGATTTCATTTGCTTCTTTAATCACACCATGTTTGAGTAAAAAGTCGTCAATTATGTGAAATGTAGATAATACTAGGCAAGTTCTTGTACCTACTGTATACATCAAGCCGTTTCCAAGATGGAGCCCCAAATAGATGGCCTTTTAGGGGTGGTTTCTCTTATTTTTTTTTTTTAAATATTTATTTATTTTAGTTCTCGGCAGGCAAACACAACATCTTTGTTTGTATGTGGTGCTGAGGTTCGAACCCGGGCCGCACGCATGCCAGGCGAGCGTGCTACCACTTGAGCCACATCCCCAGCCCTGGTTTCTCTTATTGAGCTATCAGCTATTAGTGTGCTGCTAATCACAGTAGAGGTTATCAGAAACGACTTTCCACGGGTAAGTACTTTTCCCCCCTTCCTTTCCAGTTTTGAGCCCGGAAAGTTACAGAGCAATCTTATTTCCAGATGAGAAACAAAAAGTAACCATTTTTAATGGCTCTAATCTAAATCATCCAAAAACTAAAATGATCATATTTAAATTGAGTCCTTGGTTACATATAAATCACCATCACATTATCATGAAAGGGTGTGTTGTGGACTCCTGAGCACCTTAAACAAGGGGAAATCTTCAGGAGTAACTGGTAGTCTAATATATCCAGTAATGAGATGGACCGAGATCTTAAGGATGCATATTAAGCAAATAAGGGCTTAAGTATTTATATTAAATACATTGAAAGGAGTGAAGGTGTTTGGTTAGTTGGGACAGAGAGGCCTAAGAAAACATTCTTGAGGGACTTAATCTTTTTTTAGTGAGAAGATGTCTTGGGCTTCCAGGAGTATATTGAGCCTAGTGGAGCAAGATGTGTGTCTTGCACACATGATCAAATTTGAGGGAGGGGTGCTCTGTGCCTGGGAAGAGATGTAGGGTTGGAAGGAGAGGGAGATGGCAGCCTTGGAGCCTTATAAACAGGAGTAACATGGAGTTTTGTGAGGACTGGCCTGTGAATCCCTTGGTACTCCTTAGGTGCGACCACAGGGATGGTAGTAAGCCTAAGAGGGTGACTCTGATTATGGAGCTTACCAGCCAGGGCACTGCCTGCAGTGTACTCTAGTAGGGCTAAGTGGCATCTGAGTGATGAATGCCATTGTCACTAGTGACCGACAGTAGTCACCACTGAAGGCTGGGGAGAGCTTGTGAAGAATATGTGGAAAGAGGGAATGTGCTCCAGAGGAGAGTAGCAAGAGAAAGAAGGAGAAGCAGTACTTGCCATGCCACTAAAGGAGCAGCTCTGGAGTGGCAGAGTTTCATGGTATCAATGTTGATGAAGTAGCATTTTTTAGTTGTACATTGGAGTCTTAAACAGTGTCTCAGATGCAATTTTCCTTTTCTTGGCACCCTTTAATAAGAAATGAGGACTTTGTTACCCATACTATGTAGTTGGTTGTATATTTTAGAAAATTTTTTCTTTAACATGTCCAAAATAAAATAACGTACCAGTGTATTTCAGCAGCAGGGATTCATGATGAATAGGGTAAGAGAAATAAATGAGCAAGTGGTAGACTTTTTTCTTTCTTCTTTTTTTGGTCAACTTTATTGTGGCAAAATTTGTACAAGTAAACAACTTAAAAAGTTTTAAAAATTGTTTTGTGAAAACACAACATAGGTATATTTCATCCTATCCTAAAGAGCTGTAAATACATTTTATAATGTGAATGCTCTTTTGAAAACATTTAAGTTTTTTTAAGAGATGGGGTCTTGCTATGTTGTCCAGCTGGCTTGGAACTCTTGGGCTTGAATGATCCTCCTATCTCAGCCTCCCAAGTAACTGGGACAACTCTGCACCAGACCATGAATCCCTTTAAATTTTCTTGTGATGGATACAATTACCAACCCACACATCTTTTATAGCCAGATGACAATCTTGGTTGCCTGTGCGGTACTT